GTTCAGAGCTAATTAATCATTTGCTCCTGAGTTAAAATACTAATTATATCAGTGTTATTAATTTAATTTCAATTAGGTTAAGTTGATAGTTTTAGTCAATGTTAGTTGTAGTTATGGAGTTGCATACCTAAAATACCCCATCCAATAAGTTTTTTTTCATTTACAAATTGGGTTATCGGATTTAACGATTAAATTTAAATAACCTTGTTAACACTCCATAAGTCAAAAAGCGCAATTAAGCTTTAAAGAATGATAAGTTAAAACGCAAAAAATTCCCTCTCCCGTCAATTTTCGTTTAAAATTAAAACTAGTTGTTTCATGATGTCATAATCGCTTTTAACTTGCCTTACATAATTAGTTTTCTCGATTTTTGCCATTTCTAACACTAAAGAGAGAGACTGTAGGAGTTACACCTTATCTCTAAATGTGCATTTCAAATGTGTACAGCATTCTGAAAACTTGAGGGCGCAGGGTTGTCAATAAAATTTTTAAAGAAATCCTATGTAGCGACGAAATAAATTACAGCTATAAATAATCCGCTAACGATTTTCTCTTGATAGATTCTAAAATTCCTCCAGGGACGTAAAAAATTTAAATACGGCACAGGCATCTGTCGATATCGCCTTCCAGGCACCGAACTGTTGTTTCCCGTAATTAAATCTGCTTATCTGATGACCTCGGTTTTCGTCTGTGAGCTTCAGCTATTTTCTCCTGGTTCCAAATCTTAATCGATACGGGAAGCTTTATTCGAGCAACTTTTTCAACTTTTAGCTTAGACCGTTCATCCTAAGGTCAAACTTTTCAGAAATTGATTGATTCCGAAAATGTATCGGAAACCTGATCGACCTCTCTAAGAAATTGCGGGTTTAAATCAGTTTAAGTGTTTGAAATACTATTGGATACACGAAAAATTGTTATGGTTGTTAGAGTAAAGGTCGAATACATCATTTGAAATTATCCTGGAAGTAATTACATTACAGGCTGCGATCGCTACTTAAATGAGCCGATAATTAAAACTAATCGGGCACCACATGTAGAGACAGTATTTAAAAATCATCTTGTGTTGGTCAAGTTAAAAATTGAGTAGGTACTGTTCGATTGGTATCTTGTATATGTAAGATTCAACTAATGCAAGAAAATTTTTAAATCAAGAAAAATTGCTAAATTATTACTTAGCGCCTTAAACATTAGTTGGCCGAATAAGTGCATCTTCTGCAGATTTATGTATTATACGAACCTTACTCCTAAAGTTGGAATTACTAGGGCACTAAATTTGGGGATGGGCTGTGGGCTAAGCTTCAGTTTGTTCCACGATTCATATTTTTCGACTTTCGTTTGCTAATCAAGTGGTCTCACAACAACAACATAGTCCAAATTTTAGTATACAGTTTATTTTCAGGTATGACGGTGACTTTTTGATTGCCGTCGAAAAGCTTTCTAAATAAGTAAATAGAGAACATGCATTTTACCGTTTGGAACTCTGGAGTCAAATTGCGTCAGTGGTGTTTCGGTAGGCTCATCTTTTTCTTTTTGTCGACCTATACCTATAAATAGCTTTTATTTCGTTTATATTTTTATTGTATACATACAGTCCAAAAAATCAGCTGATAAAAGTCGGTTAAGAACGCATTGTCATAATGCCAAGATAAGAGAGAGTTTGGTATCAAAAGAGGTATGCCAAATAACTAATAAAATTTTAAATTAATTGCAAGTTAATAATTCTTGTTCCCAAATGTTCCATTCATTGACATTAGCATTTTCAAAGCATACTTATGTAATGTTCATATGCTTCGAACTTGGCAGAAGTTATTGCTAACCATAAAATATTTTTCAAACATGCTAAGAATACGGAAATTGTTCATTTTAGTTCATTTAGTGATTATCTGATATTCATTCGAGAAATTCTTTTGATAGTTTCAATTGATCAAGATAATCTTTGAAAATTTCAGCTTCGATTTGTTTAGGGGACTGGCAAACAAAATTATTCTTATCTCATGCCCCTTTGACTCAATTTTGAAGTCCTATTTAGTTAGGCGGGCGTCCTGGATATTTCTTGCATCGGGTATTGACTCTGAATTTATATTGAATTGATTGCACCGGGGAAACAGGTAGAAAAATATTACCCAGATTAAAAGAACACCAGATGAACCAGATTTGAACAAATAACAACATCAGCAGTTTTTAAACGTTAACACGACTGAGGCACCATAAAACCAAAATATTTTCGACTAGCACTTTCTTTTATTCAAGAAAAATTCTACAGTCTATCGAATTCATCAAACATTTAGTAAACATAATCCCAGATACAGGTTTCTATCTCTCGTCCATTTAGGATTCAGTCATCCGTAGAGCAATTAAACCTCCCTTCACTTCCCTTGCCTCCGGAGCACCTTCCTAAGGTGCATGTAGAGCAATCGTCCCTTAGATACAGGCAGCGCTCTGTAAAAGCCAGCAACCACGTTAGCAAGACTATAAATTTAGGAAGGTAGCTACAGCCACTTTAGAATGACTTTGGTAGTCCAGTCTCCCAAACTTAAAATCTCCCTTAACCTAAATTTGGGTGTCACCTAGGATTAGGTAGCTTATCCGATAGTTATGTTTCCTCCTCTTTTTGTTATCGACTATCCGTTTTTCGGTGAATATAAAATTGATTATTTTTTAATCCATAGAATCGGCCTACGAAATCCCTTTATCTTCAAAATAACACATTTATAAACATAAAAATAGTCCGAGAAAACAAATACGCCCCAGGCATTCGCTGGGAATTCGTTCCAATCTCGGCTGTTTTCACGGGGCGCCATTTGCGCAAATCACATTTGCCGCGTTTCGCCTCATCCTTTCGACGTTTTTTTTTGCCTCATCCTCCCATTTCATCGCCGGGATATTCAATAATAAATACGTATTTCGTCGAGTTACCGACATTTCTATTTCTCTATCTCTTGCGTACACTTTATTATTTTCCTTTAAATGAGTGTTACACGAAAGGAAATAAGGTAACGTATATAAAGGAAAACCTACATGAAAGGATGCGTATGCGGCAACGAAAAGTAATCGGGCCGGTTTCCGAAATGCAATTTTGTATTTTTGTTTAATATTGCTTTCAGCTTCACAAAGTCTGGCGGAGAAAATTCGACATGTAATGAGGCTTAGTCGTGAAAAGTTCACAATAAATGGAGGGAAATGACTATAAATAAATCATTGGAAGAAGAAAAATGGATCAATTTTAATAACATTTATTGTAAATTACAAATGATTGATCCACAAGTTTAAGTAAAACACTCATTGTTATAAGGGTCAGGATCTGCTACTTGAGTTCGGAGGAACTTTGGCGGAATGTAGAGTTTAGATCCCTGCTCATGTAGGTATTGAAGACAATGAAAAAACTGACCAAACTGACCCCAGCTGCTGAGGTAATGTAGTATTGAGACAGTGTAACTGATGAGCGAGCTTACTGAGCCTGTGAGACTGTTGTGTATGGATTGGGGAGTCTGACACATTGGTTTTGGTGGAATCTGAAGAGCAGCTGCAAATATTGATGAGCGTTACACTGCTGTACCGGCATGGGCTTGGAAATAAACCCCTTAAATACCAAAACACTTATTTTCCATTCCATTTCCATCAACGTAGCTACTATTCAAACGTAAAGAGTTACATCTAGCTAGGAAGAAAATCGATCTATCGATCAGGAGACCCATTACAATGAGCAAAACAGGATTACTTAATATGCGCACACTCCTTTGGCACCTAAAACATTTGAAATGTGGCTCTACAGGAGAATGTAGAACAATTAGCCCAGAAATTTAAAAAAAAAGTTTCCTTTGATGTTTGGACTAAGTGTGCACTAGTGTTGTGCTCGTGGGTAATAATGACGGCCGTATGCTTGTGAATATGTTTTTATACGCGTTTCGTGCAAATGAGAACAAACCTTAAAGTAAATTACTTCTACCCATTTTGTTCATGATTATCCACACTTTTTAGTAAGCACAACGTACTTTCTTTCCGTCCCATCCGTCCAGTTTGCGCTTTTAAAACATTTATTACTTTATCCAGCCAACCAAATGCGCGAAAAGACAAACACAAACAAACCGCACGTAACGTTCTCCCCTCTGGCTGCGACTGTCGGCAAAAAATAAAATAAACAGAAGCAAAAATAAAAATCTGCATGCGCACGAAAGGAAAGCAATTAATTTTATTGCCATAGAGGCACGACATCTAGCCCAGTAAATAACTCTTCGACGTTGTCTGGGAGTAAATATTTATGTTGTATTTTTCATTCGGAATAATATCCGCAGGGGTGATTGCCGGCAGCATCGGAGGCGCACACACACATTCACACACGTGTACGACCTTAACAGGTGACTTAATGCAGTTTGTTGCAGCACACAAAGTCTGCACTGTAAATATTTGTAAAGTTTGCTGAGAGCACATAAATCGAGGCAGAAAATGCGTTCGTTTGTGGTTGATGATACTTCATATGGACATTGAAATGGAAGATGTATTTCAAGATCTTAAATTTGTGTTGCATGGAACCAATGTCGGTGCCACCACTTTATAGACGAAAGTCACCTTTTTACTTTCTAATATTTGGTATCGGCCTCATAAAATTTCAACTATTGTATTATAGGAGATGGGAAATGTAGGTAACATGAAGCAAAACCAGGCATATTTACAGTTGCAGTTAATGGAATTTAATAGTGCCTTTTCCTCTAGCCTTTGAGTCTGTATTTTGGGATTGTATTCTAGTAGTTTTTTCCCTTATCCTCTTGTCTTTTGCTAGAACGCGCAACCGAAAAAATACGATTTAAAAAAAAAACAAAATTTCAATAAAAAAAAATGACGCACGAAAGCACACTTCGTAGATTCTTTACCTTTCCAAAAGGCGCATCACTCTAATGAAAACAATAATTAAGTTAGTTAATTTTGGTTAATTTTAGTTGATTTGTAGATTTTGTAATTTTGTAAAACTAGACGATTCTCAATTGTAAATCTTTTCTTTCCAGATGGTAACCCGAACGAAAAAAATATTCGTGGGAGGATTATCAGCCCCCACAACCTTAGAAGACGTCAAAAGCTACTTCGAACAGTTTGGTCCGGTAAGTACCGTTTAAGTTATCATGTTGATGGCAAAATCAGTTTTTCAATAGATCCATAAAAGAGTGCCACATAAATCAAACTTAAAAATACAAACAAAACGTAAAAAACGAAGAGTCGTTTAACATCAAACCGCGGATCTCAAAACAAACGGTTATTGTTATTGCCCTTTTTATCTACGGCACTGCTGTGGGCCATATTTACGCCGTTATCGAATAGATTTGTGCTTCGCATCAGGATTTTTAACGGGCCGAAGATAAAACCGCTTTAAAGTGCCTAATGGTTTTTGTTTTTCAGGGACGGTGGCAAGCGTGTAAGTGCATCCAACAACTTTTTCTCGCATATTTATAAACTGTTGGAAAAAGATAGAGTAGCTTTGATAGGAGTATACAAAATATTTAATTGAAAAATTTGACCAGTTCGTCATCACTAATACGGTTTGGAGTTTTATGTTTTAGCGGCACATTTTCCTAAATGAAGCCCATCATCAAGTGTTCTAGTTCTAAGAATGTTTCCCTTAAGAGTTTACCAGAATGTGCTCAGCTGCCTCTGCATCTTCATCGGTGGCTGCCTATCCCAACAAAACGTCACATTCCTTTTGTAACATTCTTTCCTGGTAATTTTCGCTTTCCTATTATGATCGTCTCTTCGGTTGCTCCTTTTCAATAAGCACTGATCTAGATTATTAAAGATCACGTTATAAGGGAAGTTGTACTGGTTCTTGTGACGGTGATATCCGAGAGCAGCTCAAGAATACTGTGTGACCATAATACATTACAGTGTCCGAGTCTCCTAATTCATTCGTCTCCAGCGAGTGGTTTGTTAACTGAAGCAGTCGACAGACAACTATTAGTCTTTACTGAATGAAAAAAGTCGCTATAAATATTTCCGACAGTCGTAGATTTCCCGACCGCCGTTTCTGTGCCTACGTCTCTGGGTTAAAATTAAATTAATAATCGGTATCGTATCGAACCAGATGCTCCCAGACGCCGCTGCGGCACATTAAGTGTAGTTATTTACGTTTATTAGCTTTTTTAATTTGCTTATGGCGGTACGGTTGCAGGGAGCAAATTATAATTTTTTAAAGTCATCCAGTATGAGCAGTATTTATTTAGAATAAATTAAGGATCGTCAGTTTAAACTTTTGTTTTATTTCCGAACTTGACGAATACTGGAAATATAGGTAGCTTATTCGGGTAAATTTTTCTTCCATATTAATGAAAATCGAAATTTAGCTGGTTTTACACGTAACTTCTTCGAATAACAGGTATGCCAGGAATAAAATTATGTAAATTTACCTATTGAAGCAAAGTGTTTTAATTGATTGTGTTGCTTCATGACCGGTCCATAATATATAACATAAATGGCCATATTTTTGTCAAGCCTTCTAATTTCGTATCCAACACACAACATTGTTGCTCTGCACGAATGGCCCTAACTTCAAACTAAAGAGCGTGACGGATATAGTTAAAGTTTCGTTTCGTAAATTAAAAATGGAATTCGTTTGGAGACTTGAGTATTAAAAACTAGATTTGCAACACAATTACTGTTTTAGCAGAAAATGTCAGGCAGCAAAACTTTTATAGCAAAAGTTGTACACTATCGAAATTGAGTGGCGAATGCATTGTTATTTGCAAAGAGAAAGGTGGAAAATATAATAGCAGCGATACCTGGAAATATATATATATATATATATATATATATATATATATATATATATATATATATATATATATATATATATATATATATATATATATATATATATATATATATCTATTTATAGATGACAGACGTATTGTTGTTACTCCGCCATTTTGCAGTACTTATTGAAGTAACAACAACATCTATAAATTCCCTTTCCATTCCTGAGTACAAACAGAGAAGCTTAGTACTAACTGCTTATCAAACCCGTCTCAAAAAACCATAATCAATTCTTTATTTTTAAAAACTGTGTATATATGGCAATGTATTCAACCATTAATATATTTTGTATAGTGTGTGTATAGTCTGCAAGTCAGGGCTACAAAAATAAAAGATTATTTCTAATTTATATGTATTTTCACTATCCGCATTGACTGGACGAACGGATGATATCGTTTCCCTGCAGTATGCCCTATTATATTTAAAATCTTTAGAAGTTATTGACAGGGGCGATTGAAGTTACCATCACTGGTACCCCAGCCCGTAAAATTCAAAGATAAAACACAATAATCGGTCATGCATACTTAATAAAAACTTAAAAAAAAGTCCGATTATTAAAAACTATTTTCAAAAATTATATTTAGCCAAAAATCTTAGAATATCCTTAATAATTCTAGTAAGAAAAATAAATGTTTGTTTTTGAAGGCACCCAAATTATTGTGTTTTATTCGCACTTACACACACTAATTACACTTCTTAATAAGGAAAATGAAATTTGTCTTGCTCTTCACTTCGGCGGTATAAGCAAGCGACCTCAATTTTGTTTTCGTTGTTGTTATTTTTATGAAACGTGGTAAATTTTCTACCACAAAAAACACCGAAGCTGGGAATTAAAAACGAAAACGAAGAACAAAAAGCCGTAGATATATAAATCTACCCGCAGCAGTAAATGAATAAAGAATAACCTTGTTCCGGAAGCCATCAGCCAGGGAAAACGAATAATAGCCGAAAGAAATTTCATATTGGAGGGAAAAATATTGAAAGACAATTTGGTTTTTACTGTACGGGGGGTCCCTTTTATGGATCTCCGACACGCGTCGGGCCTACGAAATCGGCAAAAACGGGTCGGTATGCCGGGGGTTATTTTCATATTAATACGAAAATCTGGGGTATTTCGAATAGAAAAGCAAACGAATTATGATTTTGTGTCTACTTCCTACTAGCTATTATTTGGTCAGTAGACGTTGTGAGGCAATGATTACTACTCTACTACTGCATTCACTAAATAATCTTACAGAAAGAAATGATTTCATAATATAATCGTAATATCGTAATTTAAAAGTAGAAGCAAATTTAAGAGATACAAAAAAATTAAACTTATTCTGTGTTTACAAAACCCAAGTAATGTTCAGTTACATGTTAAAAAATACATTCTTCGTGACACTAAAATAAATAATCTTAAAAGAATCTCATAATTTAGAGACAAAAATTATACCAGGCTTGAAATTGATTCATGTTTACAATTTAAAGAAATATTTTTCTGACTTCCGATTATAAATTTGATGTTATAGAAAAAACGAATATTTTTACCCTAAAATGGAGACATTTATTTTTTTTACGTAAACAATTTCCCTGGCGCTATATTATATTTATTAATTCGTATAAAACAACGATTTACTCCTAATTGAAATATATATAGAGATATTTTTAAAATAGTATAAAGTCATTTTACATAATTGATGAGAATTTTTGAAGCATAATTATTAGGAAAGTTATAAAGTAGACAACCCAACCTGTAATAAATAATATCTCGCGGTAGGCAGTGTTGCGATATTGACAGAATTTTCCTTGAAATTTGGCTTTTAACGTTAAATAACCTGTTACATAAATATTTGTTATGTTTAACGCCTATTATGTCCACATTCAATGTTTAATAAACAAAATGTTTTGCACCGCAAATTTAACAATCGAGCTGTTGGCGGGACAAAACAACTTTATCGGATAAAGCAAGGGCGCATAAAAGCGTAACAGACTTTTATTAATATTTAATGCGTCATTTATCGTCAAATAAAGTGAAAACTTCGTAAACAAGTTTCGTACGAACAGGGTTTACATTTATAATTCCGACGAATAAGGGAGGAAAAATTCCCAGTACGGGCATAAGAGCGCTATATAAATATTCCCAACTCACACGATTCAGTTTAAGGTCCGAGGAAGTTTGTTTCAACTTTTCGCTTCTAAACTTTCGACTGATGTTCCAGAAAATATATTTCATTTTTAGTTTCTCCGCTGATATACAGCGACTGATTAACTTGGAACCTTTTTGTTAAATAAATTATGCCACGTTTTCTACCTACTTATAAATAATGCATATAAATTTTAGAAAATTTTTTAATTAATATTAGAAAGGTGGGGGTGCGGTGTTCCTTGTTGGAAATTTTAATATACTATGGTTCTTGGTTACTCCAAAAACCAAATTAAACCTCTTAAGGAAAGGAAGGAACACAATGATAACGAATTGCAGAAAGTTTTTAATAGCTATTTTTTGGACTCTGGTAATTTTTGTTACCTTACTTCCGGAGGGATGAAAATTATAAGTACAGAGATATTCTAAAAGTATCTTTATTGAGTCCATCATCTGGCTTAGGCTGCATAAATATTTTTATAGAAAATTTCACACAATAACCTTTGCGCCATTTTTTTTTGTAAATTCTAATTAAAATTAAAATTTCTTTATTCATGTATAAATATTCAAACTTTACATGTGTCACAATGCCAAAATGATCTCCACACACTTAATCTAAAAATTTTGAGAAAACACTGCCATAAAAATGCTATATCTGAATCTAAACAACAATTTTATTATAATTATTAAATTTATTAATTTTAATTAAAATGACAGGTGTTATTAAATGGCATGGCCTTTCTCTGCGTTTTTTATCGTCTATTCAAAAATTAATGTGTTCTCAGCATACTATCGACCACCATATACCTAGTAGATCATGGTGTGTATTTATAGCACCTCTAAATTATTACTAGACTAGGCACTTGAGCAACATCAGCTGATTGAAATGCCAAAAGGCTTCAATCATACGTATGTACCGTTTATGTAGTGTTATATTTCGATGAAGATTGTTCCACCATACTGGTGAGTACAGATCAAAACTCACAAAAGTGTCACTTTAAGACGATCGATCCGTTAAACACTGACATTTGGCATTTCTGATGGTCACGAAAAAACACAGCAGCACTTAGATAAATTTCTTCAGTCACTCGCTTGTTGATCATTCGCTCCGCTCGTGCCAAATCAAACTCGTGACTAAAATTACTTTATCAAACTTGTTTATTTTAGTTGCTC